GGCCTTCACTTAGGGCCAGAGTACTGCAGCGAACAACCAATCAAGGGCTGATTAACGAATAATTGCTAGTGAGAACAGCAGCGGTGTGCCGCTCTCGGCCTTCACTTAGGGCCAGAGCACTGCTGTAATTAGCCAAGTCAAAAGGTTGATCAAGGAATAATAAATTAAAAGAATAAACCCTTACCGTGCTCAGCGGTTACCTGCACTGACTTGCGAAGTGGCTTAGCATAATCTTATCGAGCTGCGCAGACCAGCCAAGTGGTGGTTGATCACACCGGCATAAACAAGTAATCCAGGTAGAACCCCGAGCAGCGGCGCAGCGCGAATGATCTTAACTTAGGGCCAAGTGCCGCTGCACCCGTTGATGTGTGATCGGCCAAATAGTGGCATACCGCAAATAATCCAAATAGAACTCAGGAGGGATGACAGCGAAATATGCTCTGGCACACAGATACGTAAGGCTCATCAGCAGGGTGCGCAAGGGCACACAACTTTCAGTACTCATGAGTTGATAGTCAACCCTCAGAGATGGTGCGCCGAGCACATAGTTCAGATACAGCCCTCAAGCATAGTGAGCAAGTGTGGTGCGCAAGCAGCGAATGGCCAGACTTAAAAATTGGTCAAAGACATTCTCAAAATCGATGTGGCTGCTCATACAGTCTTAAAATCGGCTCGGTGTTCAGTATGGCTGTACGGGCAGCCTAAAAGACCGGCTCTGTTCTCAGAGTGGCAGTCTCAAAATCGGCTCTGTTCTCGAGATGACTGCGCTGGTAGTCTCAAAATCGGCACTGTTCTCGAGGTGACTGCGCTGGCAGTCTCAAAATCGGCCCTGTTCTCGAGGTGACTGCGCTGGCAGGCTCTGTTCTCAGAGTGACTGCGCTGGCAGTCTCAAAACCGGTCCTGTTCACAGTCAAAAATTGCCCTTAAATACAGCGTGCACAGACAAAGTTCGGTTTCAACTCTCAAGTGTGCGGAAACACACAGTTTGGTCACGACCCTCAGATACAGCGTGTGAGCGCAAAGTTTATGACCAATCAGATACAGAGTTCAGGCAAGGTGCGCACAGATCAGATGCGACATACACACAACCCAAGGAGACGGTTGGAAAGAAGAGGGAGAGAGAGAGGAAGAAGAGAAGAGATAAGAGAAGGGGGGAGAAAGGGAAAGTGAGGGGCCAGTCTTGCCCCTCCCTTTCCTTACCCCTTCCTTTGCTTGCCTCCTGCTCGACTCTTGCCTCCTGCTCCACGCTCCCCTCATTCTCCCGCTGGCACGTCGCCGTTCTTTGACCAGTGCCTTTTTCTCCTTGCCATTCCGCAGAGGCTGTAGTGCTCCCGCAAGTGAGGGTTCTCTCACATTCTGATCCGTGCCACGTGTGTCACGCATGCCGCTCTTGCACACTGATCTGTGATCCGTGTGATCTGTCCTTTTGGGTGATGTGGCCTCTCTTTTATAATAGAGAGGCCAGGTGATCGGTATGGAGCCCTCGAAGGTCACAACCCTCGTCGCATACCCCCCACCGAAGACCCTTCTCCAAGGTCACAACCCTCGTCGAATACCCCCCACCGTATGGAGCCCTCGAAGGTCACAACCCTCGTCGAATACCCCCCACCGAAGACCCTTCTCCAACTTCGTTCCTTTCTTGGCCTTGCCAACTACTATCGCCCGTTCATTCGCAACTTTTCCAAAATCTCTTACCCCCTCCACGAACTCACACGCAGGACGAGCCCTTCACTTGGAACGATCGCCGCCAGCACGCCTTTGATCTACTCAAACAAACCATCACCACGGCCCCCGTCCTCAAGATCGCCGACCCCACCCGCCCCTTATATGTCACCACTGATGCCTCAAACTTCGYCATCGTACTGTCCCAACATTTCCCTCGTGACAACGCCGACACCCGCTCCATCAAGAACTCCCCCACTCACCCCGAGGCTCCACCCGACGAATACCCCATCGCCTTCCCTAGCAAGAAGCATCTTCCCGCGGAGATGAATTACCCCTCCAACGAGAAGTAACTTCTCGCTGCAATCCACGCCCTCAAAGTCTGGCGCCCGTACCTCGACAGGCAATACTTCACCATCCGCACTGACAACACCATCGTCTCCTCCATCCTTTCCAAGAAAGACATCACACCACGCCAAGGCCGCTGGTAAGACTTCCTCACCCAGTTCACATTCACTATTTGCCATACCCCCGACAAAAGCAACCGCGTTGCTGATGCCCTCTCTCGCCGACCCGACCACAAGCCCCCCAAAAAAGTCTACACCGCCATGACTCATATCCAGCTCCCCCCATCACTTCATCATCGATACACCCAAGGCTATCTCTCCTGCTCAAACTTCGCCACCATTTACAACAAGCTCCACGATCTTGACCCAGTTCTCAACTACTCCCTCCACAACAACCTCCTCTACATTGATACCAAAAGCACTCGCCGACTTTGCATCCCCGACGCACGAGGCCTYCGTACTCAGCTCTTGGCCGAGCACCACGACACCAAGATCGCAGTCCTCTCTTCCGTTTTTAATTATTTATTTATTTATCCTTATTTTTGTTGCGTGAATGCCATTCTCTAAGTCCAAATGAATTGTCGTTCCGGCTAGGAGTTCTACCTTCTGCTCTTGGTGATTTACTGTTTTTCTTTTATCTGAACTATCTATGTCCGGTATTGAGACGCGTGCRCAGAAAGCGGAAAGAGAGAGAAGGGAGAGAGAAGGTGTTCTTTGAGAGTGTGAGGAGGGGTAAGAGGAGTGTTCGTCCAAAAGTGAGCAAAGTGCGGACCCCTCTTGATAGATCTACTGACGCTGTATCCTCCAACATGGTAGACATCACATCCGAGCAATGGAAGGCCATGCTGGACGCAGCGACCGAGAATGAGAAACCTTTCTTTCAGAAACTTTATGAGGGCGCAATGCACAAAGAGAGGGAGGGAGAGGCAGCAGCTAAAGCCACAAGTATTGCTACACAAGTGGCCCTCCTCGAGGTTCCGGAATCTGGTGATGACCGGTTCCAAGAGAAGCTAGCTGCTGTCGTAGCAGCCTTGATTCGACTGCGGACCTTAGAAGATATCGAGTCCCGTGTGACAGCTCAAGAGAAGCGAAACCAAGAGTTGCACGCTGAGATAGTCAGCCTCAAACAGTCCCAACTATCTGCCCCCCGTCCTCCTAATCCTCGACCTGCTGCAGTCCCAGTCTCTCACCCTAGCACAATCTTCATGTCGAGAGCAAGTGGAACTGTGACAAGCGCAGAAACCGGTGCCAGCTCCTCAAGCGACAGGGTTGGCAGCTCTGCACTGGTCCTAGTCCCAAATGCAGGAACATCAGCCCAAAACGCTGCAGTTCTTACTGGCATACAATACAACGGTCCCGTAGTGGACAAGAGGGCGGCCACTCTGCCGTCCAAGTACGACGGGAAGGGGGACATCACCTCTTGGATCAGCTCCATGCGCTCATACTTCGAGGTTCTGCGAACACCGCAGGAAGACCGAAGCATGATCATGGGCACAAATACTGAGCCCGGCGTACGGAGTTTCATAGAACTCCAAGCTGTTACTGCACGTTATGAGAGGATTGACCTGACTAAGTGGCTGAAAGTGACTCCTGTACGTACTCTTGAGGACCTCCTCATCGCGCAGTATCAAGATAAGCACGCTGCGCTCAAGGCAAGGCTGAAGCTTGAGGCCCTCAAGGGCCAAAAGTGGAGGACTTCCATGCAGGCTTTGGAGCAGCACTTGACTGGTATGTTCACCACTCCAAACCTAGGATGGACTGACGTGTCTTGCATGGACGTAGTAATGGGAGTGGCCCCTGAAGGTTATGTCTCACGGCTAGTACCCAAGGACCATACGACTTGGCGTGAGCTACTGACGGATCTAGTCAATCTAGAAGCCAAGGACCTCGCCAGGCCTGCAAAGGCACCCGCTGCAGGTAGAACCTCGCGATGCAAGCGGTATGAAAGCAGCAACCAGCTTGCCCTGCATGAACATCGGGAGGTTGAGGATCAGTCCTATGCGGATGATTTGTCTCTAGATGACGATCTAGAGCCGGACTCCGATATGGGCTGTTCTACATCAGCCATTGAGTCTGACATAAATGAAGAAGAAAAATGTAATGCCTTCAAAAAGACTGCTTCAAGCAAGGGGCCTAACCGTGGTTCAGGTAGGGGAACTATAACACACCTCCCCAAGAATGCRAAGATCCCTGAGAAGCCGGAGGATGCTTCCACCAAGCCTTGGGAAGCCCTGCGCATTAACCAAAAGGAATGGGAGAGAAAATCCAAACTGCGAGTGTGCTTGCATTGTTAGAAGCCTGGGCATGCTGTGCATGAATGTTATCGTCTGCAGGGAAACAGGAAAAGGGCGTAGAAGAGTCATCAACACTCTCTACAAGAAGGGAAGTTGAACAGTCAGTTGCAGGCCCCTCCGAGGAGCCTGAATCTGATCAACAGCTTGCTCTTGAAGCCCGAACTTATGCTGAATCCAAGGCTGGTGCAGTCCAAATACTTTACACTGTGCCTTGGGAAGAGACTAAGGAAGTTGGCTTCCACTCTCACCTGGAACATTGGCTGCARCTCAAGCAGCAACGCCGTGTTCAAGGGAGTGTGAAACTGACCTTCTTTAAATTGCTCATTAACTGCCGATACATCGCGTGCTGATTGATAGTGGCTCAACGACTAACTTCTTTTCTCCTAACGGGATTCATATGGCGAGCCTGAGAATGAAGCAAGTGGAATTGCAGAACCCTTGTCAGACCCAGGTAGGGAACCAAGAGGTTGTCACATCAACACATGTTGTCAAAGGTGTGCGCGTCACCTTTGACAAGGATCGCACAGTCACACATGAGCTGAACTTTTACATCCTAGAGAATTGTCCTTTCGACGCGGTCATTGGCTTGGGCTGGTTAAAGGCTCATTGTCTAGGGACCACGTGGGTGGATGCTCAGTTCGTGGTGCGTGATGCCAAGGGGAACGAGTGTACTGTTCTATTGAACGAGACGAGCGTGTCCCCTGTGACTCTTTTGAGTGCAGACAAATTCTGCAAATCAGTGCGCATGCGCAAGGAAGTTGAGCATGTGTAAGCCTCTCCATGTGCCTTCTACTTTTGCTGCATTTTCTACCTTGGAAAGTAATTCTACTTCTACTACCTCTACTTCTATTYCATCTACTTCTACTACAAAAAATCAGTCTACTTCTGATCCAAGTACTTCGAACTCAGTTGTAATTGATGTAAATTCTCAATCTGATTTTCTCYYTACCGATGAGGATGATCCTCCACCGGAAGTCCCAACAAACATTCGYCGTCTATTAGATCGATTTCCTGCAGTTCTGGCTGAACCTCGTGGAGTTCCCGAGCGTCCGGTCAAACACAAGATCGAGATAATAATGGAGTGTTCCTCCAAAGGGTTGCGTCTATCGTATGGGACAAGGCGAGTTGGGGGAGTTGAGGAGACAAAATGATGCCATGATTAATYGTGGATGGATTAGGCCTAGYGAGTCTGAGTTCGGTGCACCTRTCCTGTTTGTGCCGAAGAAAGGAGGCAAACTCCGGATGTGTATGGACTATCGTGGCCTAAATCGTATCACCCGAAAGAAAGYTTATCCCTTGCCTCGCATAGATGATCTGTTAGATGTGGCAGAGGGGTGCAAAGTCTTCTCCAAGATCGACCTCAAATCTGACTACCACCAAATTGAAGTTGATCGGAGCAACCACCACAAAACTGCATTCAAAACTCGCGATGGGTTGTACAAATTCATCGTTATGCCCTTCGGTCTTACGAATGCACCAGCCACATTTCAGTGCCTCATGCACAAGGTTCTCCACCATCAGCTCAACATGTTTGTTGTTATTTACCTTGACGACATCCTGATTTTCAGCAAGTCCATGGAAGAGCACGTCAAGCACCCTGAGGAGGTTTTGCGGGTCCTCAAGCAGGCACAACTGCACCTCAACTCAGAGAAATATGAGTTTGGAAGGGACATCGTCATCTATCTCAAGCACCGGTTGTCTGCAAACGGCCTTGGGCCGGAGGCAACCAAGGTTGAGGTCTTACGAAAGTGGCCTCAACTGGCGAACGTGCGCGAATTGCGTTCTTTCCTTGGTTTGGCTTCGTATTACCGAAAGTTTGTGCCCAAATTTTATGTCATTGCTCACCCACTCTCGAGACTAACAAGCAAGAATGTTGCCAATGAGTGGTGTGAGAAATGCGAGACTGTGTTTCAAGCCTTGAAAGAGGCTTTGGTAAGTCATCATGTGCTCCGCATTRCGGATCCCAACCTCACGTTCGTGATCACTAAGGACGCGAGTCAGTATGGGATTGGTGCAGTGCTGCAACAAGATGATGGYGATGGCCTGCGTCCGCTCGAATATTACAGCAAACGCATGTCCAGCCACAAGGTAGCTACCTCCACATATATGCATGAGCTCTATGCCTTGCGAGAAGCGCTCACACATTGGAAGCACTACCTCTTGGGTCATCACTTCAAAGTCTACTCAGATCATCAGACCTTGCAGTGGATTAAAACGCAAACTGATCTCTCTCCGACACTGACCCGCTGAMTGCATGACATTGATGTTTACAATTTTGAACTGAAGCATAAGAAAGGTTGTTATAATCGTGTTGCTGATGCTTTGTCGCGCCATCCTGAGTTTTTGACTCGCCTTKTGAGCTCGTATGACCTCCGAAGAAAACTGAAGGAGGATCTGGTCGAGCACACTGCCAAGGATCCGGACCTTAGTCCCATCCTTGAGCAGCTCAAGGCTGACCCTAACTGTCAGCCTGATTTTCACGAGTGAGAGGGTCTTGTATTCCGCCGGTATGGGAAGTTAAATCGTTTGTGTGTACCCAACCATGCCCCTCTCCGGACTCATTTCCTGGATTTGGCACATGGTAGGAGTGGACACTTCGGCTTTGAGAAGACTTATGGAAGTCTTCTAGAGCAGTTTGATTGGCCGGGAATGAAGGGATTAGCTCAGAAGTTTATTGTTGAGTGTCAAGTCTGTCAAAGAACCAAGGTCCATAGGCATAAGCCATATGGCCTGCTGAAACCCCTCCCCATTCCTGATGGACCCGGTGAGTCGATTTCCATCGACTTCACGGATATGGGAAAGGTGACTGAGGGGGGGAATTCACAAGTCATGGTCATCGTGGATCGTTTTTCCAAATTTCTGAATTTGATTCCTTTCCCTCCCCATGCCCCAACTGAGCTTGTGATCAAAGAATTTCATCAGCAGTACATTYTGYAGTTTGGCCACCCGAAAACTATTGTGAGTGATCRGGACACCAGATTCATTAGTAAAGATTGAAAGGACTTCACTTCTCAGATCTACGACATTAAACTCAATAAGACTTCTGGTCGACACCCCGAAGCCAATGGATTGGCCGAGGAAATCAACCAGATTGTCATTCAACTACTTCGCGCGTTGATTGTTCTAGATTAGAACACGTGGACAAGGAGTTACACAAAGTGAAGGGGTTGGCATGACACCGAATCAGCTGCAATACGGATGGCAGCTGCGCAATCCTCTCTCCTATTTGTTCCCCGAACGGTCACCTGGTTTGACACCCAGCATGCTCGGCTATAATGCCAAGCATGCACGCTTGCTCAAAGCTGCTATCGTAGCAATGAACAAGTGTCAGCATGCCATGATCAAATATGCTAACAAGTCGAGTAAAGAAAGAAACTTCAAAGTAGGAAGTTATGTCTGGGTCAAAATGTCTGAGTTTTTTTACAAAGAGGGCGTATCACGAAAGCTTCTTCCATTGTACTATGACCCTTGGCAGGTTCTTAAGGTGATTGGGGATGATTTTGGTCCTTCGTATGTGATTGATGTGCCTCCTCATCTGCGCACATATCCGGTCTTTCACACGTCCAACTTGTTTCCACACATCGATGACGAGATTTTTCCCTTTCGAGATCCTATGATACCTCGTCCTAGCCACGACGACCATGAGATAGAGATAATTGTTTCCCATGAAGGAAGAGGGAGGAACAGATTGTACAAGGTTCACTTCCTCTATCACCCGTTGAACGAGTTTTATGGATCGACAGAAAAGAGTTGCTAAAGAATGCTCCACGTGTTGYTAACGCTTATGAACGACAGATCGCTGATGGACAGACTGCTAAGTTTTCTGCAAAACTCACTCCTCACTGTCTTACTAAATCTCTCTTTCTGATCTACGCCTACGATGCATTTTGTGCCGACTCTGAATGAGTTACTCGCTCGAAGGGAMCTCGCTCTTGAGAGGGGGGTAGTGTAATGACCCGCCAAAAACACAGATTGAGAACACTGCTGATTTCTGGGATTTGCCGCTGGAATGAATGCCTTGTTGAGATTCCCGCATTCTGCTGTGGTTTCCAAGTCTGTGTGTGTGTACGTGCCTGCTGGTTTGTGTGTCTGTCTGAATGCTTGTCGGCTGAGTGTGTGTGTGACCCGCAAGGGTACTTGTTGGTTGAAAGGCCCCGTGGGGCCGATACTTACCTGTGGTCGTGACTTCGAGGGTTGCAGCGGGAAGACACTCAAGTAGCGGGGGTAGGCACGCGACACTTAGAGCAGCGGGGAAAAACACTCAAGTAGCAGGTAGGTCGGTACCACTCAAGTAGTGGTAGGAGTGTCGGGTACTGGAGGCCGGGCAGAAGAAGACAAAAGTTGGCATTTTTAGAGGCCCAGTAGTGGTAGGATAGAGGYAGGCCGGTACCAGTCCAAGTAACCTGAGTCTACGGCCTGTCGGGACGATAGCAGAGCCTGCAATGATGTTTCCATCCGAAAGGGAGGTATCGGTTGYTGGGAGGCCGCTCGGCCTAGGAAGTCACCGCCCAAGAGGCTAGTAGGCCGCTTTATCTTCCGGACGAGCAGGTAGCTCCTCCTCATTTCCGATATGCAAGGATTGGCGACATGCTGGTGAGCCAAGCGCTGGACTTGTACAGCGCTGCCTGGAGGTGAAGGGCAGCTGGGCGCTCAGCCTGGCTATAGTGAGCAGCCCCGCCTGAGGAGGAGGAAGAAGGGGGCAAAGGAGGCGAGTGGCGAGGTACCTTCCTGGCTATGGTGGACACCATCTTCATCACCTTGTTGGGCGCTGCATCTGGAAGGCCCCAGTTGGGGTAGTGCCGCACCAAGGAAGCTCGAGGCAGAGTCAGGCATGGCGGCTTAGTCAGCAGCGGCATAGCTGCTTTGGGTTGTCCTTTGGACAGGAGTGCARCACCATAGTTGCTTTGTGTTGTCCTTTGCATAGAGAGGGGCAGAGCCCTCAATTGTCCGCCATAGCCTAGGCTTGTGAGAGGTGGAAGAAGGGGGGAAACCATAACTATGGTGGACCTGTTGTTGTGTCAGCAATAAGAGGGAACTTCGGACATTGATTCTGGTTCATTCACTCATTGTTATTATTATTATAGG